CCACAGCGTTTATTCAGCGGTAAGTAATCTGTAAGTAAAGTAATTTGCAGTGATCATTCTGTTTTTTGCAAAGCAGCTTATGGACTCTTATCCGTCTCATCATAGCTCACCGCCATCACACCGAGTTGTTCTGTGCTCATTTTCATTGCTCTCTACACTGACCGGATGTTCTGCTCTCTTGCATCTGAGGTGTTCTTTACCCTTACTACGGTAGTTTACATTCGTTCACGACCATTCGATCTCACCGCGCGAGCAAAGATTCAGGTAGATGAGCTGAGATTTTCAGCGTTTTGATGTGTAAATATGAACGGCGGTTATAAGCGTTTTATCACACTAACTGTTCGCAACTCAGAGATAGAGACAGATTACTTGGTGGGAAATTCAACTTGATCAGTGTTCTTACTTGCCTTTGAACCTTGCTATAGGCAACTTGTTCATATCTTGTCTCTTTCTCTTTCCTACTTAAACGAATCCTCTTCTGTCGTCTACCGTATCAGTCTTCGAATTACAAGTATTGACCATTTATCGCAGGACGCCGTTCGACATCTCGCTCTGTGAGTGAAGGCAGTGGTTCGGAAAAGAAGCGAATGCGAGCTTTTTTTGCACCTACATGGCCTTCTGGACCTGCTGAGTCAGAAACAATGCTTGAAAAGTTAAAAAAATGCTTTTAGGCGTTTTCCGCCCTTAGAAAATGCTTTGGGCGCGGGATTCCCGCCAAGAACAGCGACTGGCAGCAGGATACTATCAGGTCGTTCCGAAAGTTCTTGCGCACGATTTTCAAAAATTTATAACTTCTAACTTTTCCAACCGATTTGACTGCTTTTATTATTATATGAAAAAGTAGGTCATGCTCTTTATAATGACATCTTAGCTGCTTACTAATTATCACCTGTTGCATAGATAGGAGCGATAGAAAAAAAGTGGTCAAAATTTGAATTTTCTGTGTAGGGTCATAAAAAAGCTGAAACTTGCAACAAAAACCGGAGCAGTCGGCATTGTAGGTTCCTTCAACAGCTCTTTCCAACAGTGCAAAGTTTGCGCCGATTGAGCGTTTCCATGAAAAGTTATGATTTCCCTGAAAAATGCCAAAATAAATCAAATTCGCCCTTTTGTATTGCTTGCTCGAAAATCATAACATTTCAATGAGACGCTTAATCGGCGCAAACTTTGCACTGTTGGGAAGAGCTGTTGAAGGAACCTACAATACCGACTGCTCCGATTTTTGTTGCAAGTTTCCGATTTGTTAATGATCATACACGAAAAATTCAAATTTTGAGTGATTTTGGTTTTAAGCTCTATCTCCTTCATTTGTACACATTACGAACAGTTCAGGAAAAGATGCAAAGAGCATGAGTCCCTCTCTACGCAAAATTTTGGTCGAAAAAATTCGTTAAGATTTCAAAGAGTTATGATTTTTTGAAAATCGTGCGCAAGAACTTTCGGAACGACCTAATATAACTCCACCTATTTTGGCGACAATTGGCTGACCAGCGCAGGCAGCCAATCCCAACTAATTGGCGATCGCTCGCCCATCCCTCCAGCAATCTCCAAGACCGGAAATCGCCATAAGAAGCATTATTCGACTTTTCAAGCACAGCAATGGATTTCGTTCGTAGTTGCAATTTCCTCGAACCACTGCCCTTGAGCGCATTTTCACCTCTCTTACCGTCTGCTGTCTCTCCCAAACACGAAGTGTCTTAGTTGAACGCAAGCGCTTCCAGTCTCTGCGTGCAATGAATTGACTATACCTTTGAAAGCTCACTCATCCCTACCAAATCCTGTGTAGGTCACGGATTCCCATAAGCTATAAAGCCCACTGGAATTTCCCAACTGCGGGTATCTATTCATCCTTTCACGTAAAGCACCAAAATACAAACAGTAGAAAGCTGCAGGTTCCTCTTAAATTTATTGTCAATGTTTGTCATTAAGAAAATTTTTGGCTGCACTTTTTTCCCCTCTCGTTTCTTTAGCGCTCAAGTTCTTCGTAATTATGGACAGCAAAATTCCAATTGAGGTCTTCTGACCTAAGTAACAAGACAAGTAACACTCGGCTAAAACTCGGCTTTCGGCATTTACTTAACAGTAAAAGTCGCTAAGTAAGCGAATTTGCAGCGATCGTGCTGCTGTTTGCCAGCAGCTTATGGGCTCTTATCCCCTACATCATAGAATACATCCATCATATCAAGTAGCTGTCGTGCTCATTTTTGCTGTTCTTTACATTGACCAATTGTTCTGTCCCATACTGCCAGCAAAGTCTACTCACCCTAAATTAATCTGCAGCATAGGTTAATCAAGAGCACTAAGTGTTACTGAGCGAAATGCGCTGGTAGAATGTTCGGCGAGATTAGTGCTCCTTACTTTCTGTGCAACTTTTTTGGTTTTCTACCTTCCTTGTCCAATCAAATGCTCCCGTCTCATAAACTGTTCAAATCAAACAATTTGCAAATGCTGTGTGTGTTATATCTTGTACATCCGCAAATTGCATCCTCCATGAAATCCTTTTAGATTAAAGATTACCATGGGCTGTATTCTTGAGAGGAATTCCCAACCGCAGGTGTTTCAATTGCTACCCTACAGCTACCTAGTTAATCTGCCAATTGGGCAACAATGTGGGTAACCAACCACCACAACTGGCTGTTTGGTGCGTACTCTAATAGCATAGAACACGACCATAGAAAGATCGTCAATAGTTTTTTATCCCTGCCAACTTTTAAGTTTTTCATTATAGGCTAACAATATGTTGATTTTATCGGTAATTTATCATTTCGCTTTGAAGCCGTTGTCATTTTCATTTTCTAAAAAAAAGAAAGATTGAGGAGCAGGGGAGGAGGGAGGGGGGCAACAAGTTAAATCACTGCCTAACTTCTTCTTTTCGGATAGATCGCACTCTTGGAATAAAGCAGTTTTGTCGATTTTTGACGTAATCAAGGTGATTCGGGAAAACATAGAAGACTTTTGGGGTTTAATCGATCGGTCGTTATCGAAATCGAAAACTAGTTTCAAATATTTGGGAAGTAATGTATAACATGAAGCTTTGGGAATCTCCCACTGCGCCAATGTGCAGGTGCGTTGAGCCGATCTTAGCAGATCACGAGAGGTATCACATTTCAAAGCGCACACCGATGCAGGCTTGCACTACTCATTGACCGGATAAACAACTTCTGAAGAAGGCGCTAGACGCAGGTCAGAGGTGTAAGTCTCCTTTGCGTCTTCAACACGAGCATAAACAGTCCTCAAATTGTTTCCAGAAGTATGCCTCAGTAGCAAATCCCTTTCGTTTTATCGCTCAAAACGACCTACACCGAATTTGCGCTCATTCATTAGTGCTGACTTACGGTGCCAGTGGCTACCCGAATGCTTTGTAGCCCTTTGATCAAAGCGGTAACCACTCGCACCGAGTTAACGCTTGAACGACAGGTCCAAAAGGTGTTTGAGCACCTCGGAAAGTTATCCAAGAGGCTTAGATCCGGTGTTAACAGCCTTTGGCAATATAGCTGTGTCGGTTTGCGCTTTTGTGTGGTCCTTTCGAATTTAATAGAAGCGATATTCAAGTATTAACTATCTCCTACAACTTATTTGATTAGAGAATTGTGTAGGTTTTGCCGTATTGCATCTCTCTCAATAGGGAAATCTTAAATTCTCTACTACAAAGTTTTTTTCCAAAACACATAATATAATATTCATCCGATCGATCCTCTTTATAGCGCTCAATGATAAACTTCAAAATTCAGACTACATCTTCTAAGATTCTGCTAGCAATTTTTGCCGGCATAGTTGAAACTCCTTAATTAGTTTCATTATTGTTCACATATTTTTGGATGACAGAATGTTATTCATACGCAAATCTGGCTACCATTATCGAAGTTGAAACGTTTGAAATAGTTGTGGTGAGCTGGTTTTGTGAAAATTTTACTACTGAATGAGGTTCTATACAATTGCGGGACCTATCTGACTTTCGATGTCTATTCATAGTCATCTCATTTTTTCCCTTATCCATTTCCACTTATTTACTACTGATTGTGAGGTACAATTCGATGCATTTGAGAACTATTATATTTATCATAAGTCAACTCTAGAATATCTATCCTTCCTGCATAGTGACCTAGTGTACTCTTTCAACTTCGCCCTTGTGCTTGTGTATAGTTTATTCCTAAAGAAAAAATTTGCTCAATATCGTCGATTGTATCTAAATGCTGCAAACTACTCAGCAAAACTAATCTTGCCAGTTAAATGAGAAAAAAGTGCCTTAAACATGTTTGGAAAAACATGCAGATCTTTATCGCTAGCGCATTTAGCGATGAGATGAACATCACACTTCATTCTTCGAGTTTATTCAATCTTTTTTGCATCGAGCAGGCTAGGTTCTCATTCGACCAGATTTGTCGAGTAGCCGGCCTCATATCTAAACATCTTTGGTATTCTTCTGTAGAGCTGCGTATTTCTTAGTAAACCAAATTCCCTGATTGTGCAAAGATTGTCTCTTGCTATTCTAGTGCAATACAAATCGATACCAAATAGACAATCTTAGTGACGTCAGAGGATGCTGAATTGAGATTTGTAGAGATTATTCTACGACCTTCCATAAAATCATTTCGATTCCAAAAACATCTTCATGATTTGGAAAATGTTAAAATTGCAGTAATGCCATCATTTACAATTTTATAATTGTTAGCATAATGCTACATCATGCTACACCTAATCTTACCGTTATGTCGCGACCTCAGTCTCTATATTATTCATTTTCAATCCGCACGTGACCCATCTTATGCACCTGCATAGTCATTGATAATCTCGCTGGTCTTCTTTGATCTCTACCAATGATTATCCTCAGCTTTGAGCTTTTCCCGCATTTACCCGCATCTATAATTAGGGAGGGCGGGCGGCACAATAACGCGTCACCTCGCTCCACCCCTACCCGCACGCATGTCTTATTTGTGATTTGTTGCTTACCATATTTGCCTATTGATAGTATGATTAGTCACAAAATACGTTGTATTCAGATGTTAGCAGTGCTAATTCTGCTACCTGCCACATTGGCAGAATCATTCTGGATAACCGCCGAGCTGTTGCGGGTAGATTGGAAGGAAGGATGTCTTACCACCGCCGGCTGCTCACAGCCCAGATTCAAGGTTGAAATATTATATAGTTTTGCCCATTTATCTATCTTTTGGATCATGAGCACCTTTAGGTACTTGAAGACATGCTATCAATTTCGGAAAGGATCTCCATTAGCTGGCCGGTTTCGGAGCATTTTGTGCAGGTAGCAAACCATCAGTGTAACCAGATCATCATTGCTATGGTCCAGTAAGACCAGAATCTTATTTAATGCAGCTTTTGGAAGACCGAAGCAAAAAAATATTGTATTTCTCGCTCTTGCGCGTACGTTTTATATCGTTACGCCATCTATGACTTTGTGAAGTGGTGCAATTAGTCAGTCAATCAACATTTGCGCAAGTGGGCTCGAGAAGTTTGTTGAGACAATGTCACGCTCAACTGTAATGACTAATCTTTTTATTTTGTAACTGTGATTTGAATCGAATAGAATAATATCAGGAAATTTCCAGTATTTCTCAAAATTTGGGAAACCATCACTACTCGTCCACTATCTCTGTCCTATACGTTTCCAATTAAGGAGGCCTCACGACCATTTGTGTCGTACTGGGAGAACGGTAATCCTCAGGATGTGACCCTCTCGTGCCAGGTTGTTGGCAGTGACCCCACTTACGGTTTTCCGAGAGTTTGTGATCAAACTCCATCCATCCGCGTTTTTCAAGATGAGGTCGTCAAAGCTTTGGTGAGTTTTATCTTATTGCTGATTTTTATCCCCTGTAAGAAAAGCAAAAAAGTTTTTTGAATGATCTCAAATGCTATGATCTGACACTTGCAGGGCCGAAACAGACGTCATCAGGACTTGACTACCATTGCAATACCGGAAGAGGAGCTGGGCAAGAGGCTGATCGAGGTTCGAGCGAAATGTTTCAACGCCACTATAGCAGTGGAAAAGCATACAGAAAGGTGCCCATGGTGCCCCGATCTATCGCATGCGCTCTTTGAGCAAGAGGTTAGTAAAAGGACTTTTAGGAATAATACTTATCATTTTAGACTTCCATCTGCATTTCCTCAAGACATACATTTTTTTTTACAGAATCTGCTCAGACATCTTCTTTACATCGTCACTCTGAGTATAACTAAAATCGAAGTTTTGTAGCTCCCAGAAGATGCTCCTGCTCCCGCGTTGTCGACATCGATTCTCGCACAATTACAAGAAGACGAGATATTACGCGTCTCCGTTTTAGTACTGGCCGTGATTGCAGTTGCGGCATCGCTAGGCTTCGCTTGTGCTCTAGTTGCTTTCCTTCAACAAAAAAGGTTTGTGAAGTAGCTCTTGATAGCAGCCCACGTCATTCTTATTTTTTTGTCTTTCTGCGTACAGGGCTCCTAAATTGCAGAGTCGTTTGCACCAGCGGTCGCGCGACCACGTCGCGCCCGGGCATCAATGGCGCCGCCTCGATCGATGGCGCCGGCGCCGGCAAAATGCCCGGGCGCGACGCGGTCGCGCGACCGCTGGTGCAAACGACTCTGCAGTTTAGGAGCCCTGTAAATCACATCAAATTTTCAAGCACTTATCGCCATATCTCCGTAAAACCACGCTACCGGCCATTTTCTCCGTCTACCTGCAAGGCGGCTGAAGACGAGAATAGGTGAGTACTCATTCTTGCGGATACTTGTTATAGGGTTCGCCGTCATTTTTCCACAATAGAACTGCGAGAAAGAATATCCCAAAATTGCTAACAAAGTACTGGATTCACACAACCGATGTCAGGGCTAAGAACTAGACCGGTTACGTACCCCCTGATTCAACTGGATGGCGGCTGGAAGGCGGGGCTTCGTGACCTAGTTACGCCTAGAGAATGATTAGAGAGCACGAACGCGGGAGATCGCAGACTGCATCGCAGGCGCGAGCAGTCTGCGCTCTCTCGTTTTGTGACCCTTAATTAGGTCACAAAGCCACGCCTTCCAGCCGCCAATCCAACTGAATCAAAGGTTAGCTTTCTTGGCTCCCCATATATCATCGTCCTTCATACGTCGCATAAACTAGTGTCAGGCATCATTTCTTTACTTTAGCTACAACAGATGCCCATAGATAACTCGCACAATCAGCTATCCTTTTGGTTCTAGGTACGATATGCCTTGGGGATATACGCGTCCGTTTACCCACTGGCCGTGCTCATCTTCGAAATCCGAGGCGACGACAACATCGCCGCTTGACTCGACGTCTTCGATAGCAGCGCCGTATAGCTTTCGATCCGGATTTACAATACCTCAAACGCACCTCTACCAACACATCTCTCCAAACTCCTCTATAGGACCGGTACATGACTCTTGACTGCGGTTCGTCTAGAAGTTCCGTACTAATCTATCGTGAACCTTCGAGCTCAAAAGAGTCACAATCACTCACTCACTGTATACGGGTACAGTTCATCCGGTATTTCATGAACGTTTAACACTTTCTCTTTATCGAGTTTGTAGTCATAGTTTTTTGTTCCTTGTTAACCTGCCAATCTTATAGTTGAGCCTTGGCGGTTTAGATTGTTTATATCGATACATTTATATGTTTGTAAATAATATAATACAATTTATTGCATTCTCCAATTTTGTACAATGGTTCTATCTCAATTATTTTGAACATGGTAGCATAGCCCGAGACAGCTAATCTCGATAATGCAAGGTAACTGCATAACTCGACAGTATCTAGAAGTAAAAGTGAGAAGAGCAGAGATGAGAACGGTCTCAGGGAGGAATTTGGTATATTATTTGAAGAAAATTATTTACAAGAAACTCATCATTTGGCTCACCAAGAGTATAATCTCGGCAGTAACAAAAGTCTTTTTGTACAAATATATCTTTAGTCAAAAGTCACGATTGGATGGGATCTCCGCAAAGGTTTATTAGGAAAATGAGGGTTTTTCAAGGCTCATTTCAAGCGTCATGAGCAAACGACTTTTTAAAGTCTTGAAAATATCAAGCGGAAAAGATTTCGAAGCTCTTAGCTTTTCTAGCTTTTTTTTGCAAGGTTGCAACCGCTACAATAGTCCGTTTGACGCTGAAGGGATGCGAGTGCTGCGTCTACTTTGTAGAATTAAACGTTGAAGGCTAGGCAAAGTATCTGGCTTTTTATGTGCGAACGATTGAGCATTCTTTGGCCACTTCCTCGGCCCATATATATTTATTTATTTATTTATTTCATAGAATCAACCTATGCCAACAACAACAAAAAAATAGTATGAATAAAAAACCAAGAACACATGCACAGTACGAAATCCTGTGGGGATCAAAGTTATAAAACCTCGATAGTATCAACGCTGCTAATGGACTGTAGATAACTCTTTAGAACCGTCTTAAACTGAATAGCTTTGGCGGAAACATACCCTTCCTAATTGGTCTATCCATGTCACAAACTGTACGACAAGTGAAAAAGTTTCTCCGTATCCCTAACCTTGCCCTTAGAATGACCAACTTCTTGAATCCTCCCCTAGAAATGGACACTCTAGTTGGAAAAAAGGTTTTGAAATCCAGACCACACTCACCAAATGCAATCTTGTGCGCCATAATGGGTCGAATTTACGTTTTTTCTATAAGCAAGTGAGGAAGCTCCTGTCCCAAAGCTCTTGTTGCGAATCTTCCCATTCGGTATAAAATAGTATTTAAAACCAATCTTACGTATCATAAGTTTCCTAGTGAAACTATTCTGAATTTTCTCAAGGTAGTTTTTGGTTTTGCGCATACTTGGGTTGTACAGGGCTTTTCAACCTGAGAGTCGCAAGTTTCGCTTGCGCGGCTCCTCCAACGCGGTCGCCTCGCTCAGGTCGCGCGTGGCGTTTGCTGCGTATCGCTCGGATTTCGCCAAGCTTCAGTCGACGCGCAGCCAGCGCCACAAACGCTGCGCGGACCTAAGCGTGGCGTCCTAGCGGGGCGGGTGGGACACTCAGGTTGTAAAGCCCTGTACACAACTGTTCCGTATTCCAACATAGGCCTGATAGATGACTTGTGTGCTGCTATGAACATAGCCGTGTCGTTATTTGAAAACTCTGAATAAATGTATCGCTGCGGTAGCTTTGTCTGCAATCATTTTGCAATGATCGCTAAAATAAAGATTGCTGGTCACTATGAACCCTAGGCCTTGTATTTTTGTTAATTCCCGGAGCGAAACTTCACACAAGCTGTATTGAAAATTTGGTTGCAGCCACTAGGTCCAGCATGGAACACTTATATGTCCTTAAAGATAGGCAATGACCACCTTTGCGACCATTTATATACTTTATTGAGTGCATTCTGTAGCAAGTTAAGGCCAGATTCATTCATAATAACAGTATACAATTTGAAGTCGTCAGCAAAAGCACTACATGAGACTCCTAGGCCTATAGGAAAATGGGGAAGTTCATAAGTATAAATATGAACAAAACGGGTGAGAGACCACCTTGCGGAACGCCGCTACGCATCTTTCTGGGTCTAGAAAAGCAGAATTTACTCGCACGAAAAAAGACCTGTCTCTAAGGAAGGCGTCAATCCAAGCAATAATGCAAGGATGTATGCCGACCATCTTACTTTAGCAATAGCTTATAGTGAGGTACCTTGTCAAATGCTTAAAGTAATCAACATAAATGACATCGATATTGAATCCATTGTCCAAATTTTGTGTCCAGTTGTTCAAAGTCTGCAACATGGCCGTCATGGTAGAGTTTGACCTTTAAAAATTGTATTGGAAAGGTGAAATAATTTTGTTTCTCTCCAAATGTTTAACAATGTATTTCTTCAATGTCTTTTCAAACAATCGAGCAAATAATGACGTCATACTGACTGGTCGATAATTACTAGAAGAAGTAAACGGTCTTTTCTTAGGGATTGGTGTAACATAAGAAGTGCGCCATTTATTTGGCACTTCTGCTCTCATGAGACTGAATTAACTATGAATTGAAGAGGTCCGGCTATGACATGCGCAATTGATTTTATGAATTTCAATGGTAGGTCATCAGGGGCGGTAGTAATCTACCCTACCTGCCGGCAGGTCTTGCCCTCAACTCGTCACGATCTCGCCCTCATGTCATGGAAACTGACAATGCCCATTTTAGCTTTCTTAAAGCAATCATTTTGGCGCTCTCCATGTCTGACGGTCCAGCTTAGAGCTGGGCACCAGGAGTAAGGGATTTGGAGTTAGGCCAAGTGATCAGCAACTTGTAAATTTCATTATTATGGAACCAGGGTACTTCTTTTATTACAGGAAAACACGACGCAGGCTGACTGTGACCAACAGGATCACTTTCTTGATATGACTTTTCGAAAACATCTGGAGTGGTAGTAATTTGGTCGAAACCATCATGTTAACTGTGTTTTCACGACACCAGCTAACCAGCAGCTTCACATCATTTTCCCAACGAAACCACGAATTAACCAATACGAAACCTCGAAATGCTATCTTGCAAAGCAAAGTCATTGGAGGAGATCGAAACTCCAACCATTCTCATGGTTGTCGGCAATCATTGCACTTTACCAAATTTGCAGTTCGGTCTCCACCCTTGCACCTTCCTATAACCTTATCTAAGCTGTAAACAAGTAAGCTTTCTCATAGTAAGTTGTAGAATGATCTCCCTCACTCTTCTTAACTTGCAAAATTAACACATCATTGTTTGAAACGAAAAAGTGGTCGGGGGTACTTTTTCATTTTAAACTATGATGTGGTGGTTTCACGTCTGCGTCTCATGAAATGAAGTGCTGTTTTCATTACTCTATCTGATAAGGGAACAATGGTGTTAACCTGCTGTTTAACTCATAGTTTGGTTTAGAATGAAACAAGCATGAAACAGTTATGGTTTTCTGCTAGTTACTTGCTTGTTTCATGATTTTGTATGACCGATTGAACTGAGTGGCCGTGAAAAGATGATCATGCTTACCACGATGTAACCATGATTGAACTATCACATCATTTGTTGGTTTCGACCAAATTACTACCACTCCTGCAGATAGCTCTGCTATTTCATAATCGTCAGATACTACAGCCCCATCGTTCGATAAGATTGTGCTAATTAACGTCGCCATCCACCATTGTTCCAACCACCCTCCATGCCTCGCCAAGCAGTTACCTAGTCAAGTCTTCCATACCTGATCACGTCGTCCACTGTGTCTAGTTGCCATACCTCGTCAGATCGCTTACTCCTCCCCAAGTCATGGTACCTCGTCAAGTCGCTCATTCGTGGCCAAATCGTATATACCTCGTCAATTCGTCAAGTCGCCACACCTCGCAAGCCCTCCATACCTCGTAAATCTTCAACCCAGTCTACGTAGCAAATGCATTTCGCTTCATTTTTGGATAGTCAAATCAAAATATTGAGTCATTTTCCCAGCTATCTACTTTCGCTTGTTTACTGTTACTAACTTATACACCCTGCTTCACTAACGATTATACTAGCTTGCCTTGTACCAGGGTACATGATTCGACCTATTTCCTATTACAGTCACACCCAAGTGCCCAGGTTACTTCCGCTTATGCCTTACTTCTTTGCCTTACTTCTTTACTTCTTTGCCTTACTGGCAAGCCTTAACTGGCACTTCAACTTAGAGTCTTGCCATCCTCCAAAACCTACCTACACTCATCTGGGGTCTGTCAGCTAGTTTCCGCCCGTAAGCTCGCTGGCACTCAAAAAGGGGTTTTCAGAATAACTTTGGAGAATGCAATACTCCCCAGTCATTCTGTGTTTCTCAAGCCATATTTACACTGATCTGGCACTTTAAACAGATTTCGCTCTATTTTAGTGGGCCTTAGATTAGTATATTGCTTATATGTCCATCGTTTATCTCCCTGGGGCCATTGACAAGCTGTTATTAGTTGCTGTTCGACGTGTTAGAGTTTTATTTTTTGTTTTTTTGTTCTTTGGTGCACCACGAGTGTAAACTAAAATAAAAAATAAAATAAAAATAATTTTCTTTTTATCTTTAAGTCTAGAATTGATTAGCTTGAAGAACAGAGACTTTCTGCCAGAGGCAACAATATTTTTTCTACAGAAGCATTGTATTTCCTGAGACGTGTGAACATCAGATTGACTCTATCAAACTCTCTCCAGTCTTCAAAGTTACCTAGAGGCTGCTTTACTCTAAACTCTTTTACACTCCCTTTTGTCATAAAGATTTCGAAGGTAATCTGGCAGGTGTTTGTTCGTAAAGGAACCGAGACAAGGGGGACGTATAACGAGATGGCGTGGTGAAGTACAAACAAAAACAATTATACATTTTATCTATGTCATTGATAGAATTGAAAGAGACATACCAATCAATGGTAGTTAAGTACTTGATCAAATCAAGCGTTTTAATTTTCAATTTTTAATCGCTAATATC